TTCAGCGACACACACTAGCCTTTGAAGTGATGATTTTGGATGGGAAAATAATGTTTAAAAAGTCTTGATCTATGCACAGTGCAAAGGGGTCCTTTCATGTCCTGAATGTGTGTAAATTTTCCATTTTCCTCCTGATGTTCATTCATGATATAAATTGTAAGGTTGAACTACCTCATCTTGGGCTTGATGTCTAATGCTTATGAATGGATTCAGGGAAAACTAGTTAGCTGGACTTGAGTCATGGAGGTGAGCAGTACAGTGCCTACATTCTTTTAAAAGAGAAATGAAGATGTTTCAGTTTGGAGGGGCATCTGAACTGAGATGTCAGCATATTTCTGGCAAGATAGCAATTGGTGTTTTTGTTTAATTAATATATGAAAGAGGGGAAGGTACCTAGGGATTGGCAAGTTCCTTTATATAAAGGGAAGGGGGACAAAAGAGATTGTAAAAATTAGAGGGGAAGAAGTTACTGAGTATTCCAGGTAAAGTGTACAGTAGGGTTATTATTGAAAGAATTAGAGGTAGGACTGCAGATGAGCAAGGAGGCTTTAGAGTGGGTAGGGATGTGTAGATCAAGTGTTTACATTGAAGCATATATGTGAACAGTATTTAGATAAAGGTAGGGAAGTTTTCATTGCATTTATGGATTTAGAAAAGGCATATGGATAGAGTGGCTAAGGGAGCTATGTTGCAAGTGTATGGAATAGGTAGTAAGCTACTAAATGCTGTAAAAAGTTTTTATGAGGATAATGAGGTTAAGGTTAGGGTGTGTAGGAGAGAGGGAGATTACTTCCCGGTAAAAGTAGGTCTTAGACAGGTATGTGTAATGTCACCATGGTTGTTTAATGTATTTATAGATGGGATTGTAAAAGAGGTAAATGTTAGGGTGTTGGGGAGAGGGGTGGGATTAAATTATGGGGAATCAAATACAGAATGGGAGTTGACACAGTTAGTTTTTGCTGATGATACTATGCTTTTGGGATATTCTAAAGAAAAGTTGCAAAGGTTAGTGGATGAGTTTGGGAGGGTGTGTGAAGGTAGAAAGTTGAAAGTGAACATAGATAAGATTAAGGTGATGAGGGTATCAAATGATTTAGATAAAGAAAAAATGGATAACACATTAGGGAGGAGGAGTATGGAAGAAGTGAATGTTTTCAGATATTTGGAAGTTGACCTGTCAGCAGATGGGTTTATGAAAGATGAGGTTAACCATAGAATTGATGAAGGAAAAAAGGTGAGTGGTGCTTTGAGGTATCTGTGGAGACAAAAAAAATGTTATCCATGGAGGCAAAAAAGGGAATATATGAAAGTATAGTGGTACCAACACTTTTATATGGGTGTGAAGCTGGGTTGTAAATGCTGCGGTGAGGTGGCGGCTGGGGAAAGTGGAGATGTTGTGTCTAAGGGCAGTGTGTGGTGTAAATATTATGCAGAGAATTCAGAGTGTGGAAATTAGGAGGTGTGAAGTTTATTAGTCAGAGGGCTGAAGAGGAGTTGTTGAGGTGGTTTAGTCATTTAGAAAGAATGGAACAAAGTAGCGGGGTAGGGGTTGTCCTCGAAAAGGTTGGAGGGAAGGGGTAAAGGAGGTTTTATGGGCGAGGGGTGAGCGTGTTAGATAGTGAATGGAGACGAATCGTTTTTGGGAGCTGACGGTGTTATGGAGTGTGGCAGGGTAATATTTTGTGAAGGGATTCAGGGAAAATGATTAGCCAGATTTGAGTCCTGGAAATGGGAAGTAGTATAATGCCTGCACTTTAGAGGAGGGATTTGGGATATTGGCAGTTTGGAGGGAATTCTAAATTGTCGTATCTGAGTACCTTTGCAAAGACAGTTATTATGTATAAGTGATGGTGAGTGTTGAATGATGATGAAAGTATTTTTCTTTCTTTTTGGGTCACCCTGCCTCGGTGGGAAACGACCGATGTGTTAAAAAAAAAAAATTATCTCCCTACCTTGGTGGGCAACAGCTTGCATGTTAAAAAAACTTTATAATATGACAGTAAACTAGTTATTGCAAATAAATGTTGCAGAGAGGAGAAGGCTGGTGTCATTGATGTCATGCTTGAGATCAATGTGTGGCGTGAATATTATTCAGAGAATAACGAGGGCAGAAATTAAAGATGTGGTGGTTTGAAAGGTATAATTAAGAAAGTGGAGGAGGATTGTTAAGATAGTTTGGTCATTGAGAAAGGATAAAACAGAATAGGTTGACCAAGAAAGTGTGTACATCTGGGGTGGCTAGAGGGAGGTGGGTAGGAAATGTTGGAAGGAAGAGTGATGTGAAAGTTTCAAGTGACTTGAGCATCCAGAAGACATGAGTGCATTAGATTTAAGTGAGAGAAGACGAATGACTTTTTTATTTTAAATCCTATTGGAGTGTGAAGGGATTTACATAAACCATTTAACTAAATTTGAGTTCTTTGGGTAGGAAATAGTATTTGCACTCTGAGGGATGGGTGTGGGTGTTGCTGTTTGGATGGTCATTTGAAGTGTGATGTCTGAGTCCTGGCAAGATTGCTACTGAATAAATGATAGTGAATGTATTTTCTTCTTAGGGGTCACCCAACCTTGCTGGTAAATGGTAGATGAGGTGTATAAACAAAAGCTGTAAATTGACATTGATAGCAAACAGTTGAGGCGACTGACAATTTTTAATGATGGCAGTCAAATTTTAATGAAGTTAGTGACTGATTATCAATAAAATAATTAGGCTGCATAGACTGTTAAGTAGCTCAGTATGATTTACAGAGCACTAGAACCATTTAGTGAAGTAATGAATAACAAAACTGATTTTAGTGCTTTATGAATCATATACAGTAGGTGTCAAAAATATGTATGTGCATAAACTAACTACAAATATAATGACAACTCTCGCCATAAAATATTGTTTTAAAAATAAAATTCTGAAATGTGTATTGGTTACTACTTTTGTCTCCTTGGCACAGATAAGGCCATAGTATGAAAGAAGAGTCAGTACCCTTCCATCTCTGCTTAATAGCACTCAAGAGTTTGGGGATATTAGAAATGTCCATGCCACCAAGCTTATGCTTAATATTGTTCATGTGTTCTCTTTCAGATTTAATTCGGTGAGTTACCAGGCCATTTATTAAAGATCAAAATTTCTCAGTGATTTAGGAAATCTTGCATTCAAAAGTGTCCCTGGCACTTCTTGAAACTGTCAAGCAAATAATCTGCTAAATGCATACATGTACTTATTTGCATGCATATTTATGATGCCTGTACATATACAACAGTCTACACAACTTAATCATTTTAGTGGTAACCAGAGCTGTCAAAGGTAGGCTGAATTTAGTCATATTATATATCAAGAAAAGTAAGAGATCATCTATTGGCATTCTGGTGAACAGGACTTTGACATCAAAACTAACAAATTCAATATATTTTATTTTCATTCTGTACAGTACATTGTTATTCAACAAAAGGCATTCTTAATACAGTATGGAAAGTCTGCACTACTGCTAGCAATGTTAGTATATTAACCATATGCATTCTCTGTTGATTGAGAAAGTGCATAAAATGCATCAAGTGCACTTCAAATGCTTGTGCACAAATATTAAGTACTAATTTGAATATTGCATTCAGTTTTTTCCATATATTTGCTATTGATTTAATCTTTTGTTTAACTTTGGAGTCACTTTACATTTTAAGAAAGTCATTAAGCTTCGAGATACAATATAGTGCAACAAGAATGAAAAGCTCTTGGTAATTAAGATGTGAGAACACTTATTAAGAAATGGAAAGTGCATATCTTAGTATTTTGTTACTCAAGTCTTTCTTAAGGCTTTTTAAGAATGCAGTCATCACCAGCTTAGCCTTTAAAATTTATTTGTATTTACTATCCAACCTTAGTATCTTAAACTTGATCAACTGTTGTATTGTTTTCACAACTTTGTTACTTTCAAAGCTAGTTTATTATTGTCTGAACATACTGTACATGAAAAATCCCTGCTTGAATATTGTGTATCAGATAATCTTTTTATCTTTCTGTAAGTAATGTATTTCTGATAGGGCCTCAACTGGAAAATGTCATGACTCATTTAGATTTATACTCATCTCAGTAAGGTCCATACTTGCACTTTATGCTCAGTAATAACCTTCACCTTCAATCATCTAGTGATTTTAGTTTGTTATTATCAACATTGCCTGGGGGTCACATGAGGCTCTGAACTCGTTGTCAATTACTCCGGCATGACACTCACTCCTTTCCTATGGTCTGCCTTCGTTTTGCTTCCTTCATTTTAGCCTTTAACTACATGCAATTTGTGGCAGTCCTACTGCTCTCATTTCTTTGAACATCCAATTAATCTTCCTAGCATGGACACTTGCTTCCACATGTGATTCCTGTGATGGGTTGCTTACTTGGAATGGTCTATTTGAGGCCTTCCTGTTTGGCCTGAACACTACCTCTACAAAAAGGATCTTGTCAGTGGTCAGTCCTGTTACGTAGCTTTCAGTGCTCATGCATTGTTGTTAGGCGTGATGAGATCTGCCTTCACTCTAGGCCTTGTTCTCCACCATGGCTGAGTGTCTGTTCCTCTGTGACCCTTTAACGGATGGTCATTGATGGTTAGAACTCTGTGATTCAGAGATGGGAATTACACTACCTTTACGTATTAAACTAATTACATAGGCATTCCCCAGGCATATCGACTTAGTAGTGGGCTTAGCATTAATATTGGGCGGCTTCTTGCCTTATCTCTCGTTCAGGCTTGGTCAGGTCGTTTCCATGGGTTCTGTCTGGGCATCTCTCCCTGTGACCTCCTGTGGGCAGGGGGCCAGCTTAGCTTACAGGTATTAGCTCTTGGAATACAAATAGTCTGAACTATTCTCATTAATTCTTTCATTCAGTATGTAAATCTTAAGTGTAGGCAACTTTCCCCCCATATGATTAGTTAGGGCTCATAGGCATACTAACTGCATTGGGTGGCCTCTGTGTATTATGTCTTCGTGATCTTTGGTCAGGGTCCGTCTCCATGGGTTCTCTTCTAGGGCATCCTCTCCCTGAACCTCCTGTGGGCAGCCAGCTTGCTTTACACAGGATATCTAGCTCTTCTTGAAGACATACAAATAGGTCCTGAACTATTCTTCATTGAATTCTCTCACCATTCAGATCTTGTACATCTCTAAGCTGTGGAGGGCACTTTTTCCTCCATAGGGTTGATCTTTAGGCTCCATCATTGGCAGTTCACTCACACATGCTTGTGAGGTGGGCCTCTGTGTAATTATGTTCTTGTGATGGACTTTTTTTTCAGTTGTTTTGGTACTCTTTACATGCAAAGTTTTCTGGCCTTTCAGGATGCCATTACATTTTGCTTACTGCATTCTGATGCAGGCTTTGAGTGTCAAAAGAAACTTCCCAGCATAGTTCACAGGTTCTTTTCTCCTGGATCTGCCTGCATAGATTTCCTGTCAAATCAGTAGCTGTCTCTTTCATCTCAAGTGAGGGTATTGGAATTCCAGGTGGTCTCCTCAGGGCCACAACCTCTAAAAATACATTTTGACCTAATAGATAATGTATTTCTACATCATGGGCCCTGGTAGCTCATGATTACCACCACCTTTCTCATCTATTGTGTTCCAGTTTCCATCTGGGATTTGGAGCCTTCTAGGAGTCTCAGATGAGGTGGACCATAACAAGTGAATATCACCTAGCCATCAGAGGTGAAAGTCTTTATTATTGAGCACACAGTGGAAGTATGGACCTTAGTGGGGCTCAGAAAGTTGAGCCACTGTAACATATGACTAGTGTCATTCCCCAAGGCCCCTGACACAAGTGTATCTTTTATTATGGTTAAACTTCAGTTATTTTTCCTGCATCTTTCTCTGTCCTTTTCAGATGAGTTCTCCCCACCAATGAAAGTGGGTAATTTTAATGGTGAGAAAGCTTTTGTTGTAGTTGCAAAAATGTTCTTTTGAGTTATGCAGTATCAGCAATTTAACCAAGGGGTAAACATAAGACAGTGTACAGAGAAAGTATTTATACAGCAGACATGTTTATCATACTGTATAAGCAAGTGGAAATTATTTGAGTAATTACACATAAAGAAAAAAGTGAATTAGATATAAGGCATTCTTTGTGAAATTATTCAGTTCAATGCTTGACACTTTCTTTTATATCTTTATGCACCAGTTGTGGCACATGTACAGTAGTTATAAAAGAAATGTGGTTTATAGATACGTGAATAAATAAATAAGTACAGTGCATTTTTTGGAGGGAGGGGCTGAACGCTTAAATTTGGGTTTTTGGATTCTGATTCCACACAGTTTTGGAAAGCAGCTATTAAAAATGATAAAAAAATTTTTGTTTTCTTTTTAGTAAAAAATTTTGGTGTGTAGTAACCAAAAAATTTAAATGCCTACTATGAGGGGCCCATATTGTAATGGTTTTGTGCCAGAAATTTTGTATGTGCCTTACGTGCAAAACAAAAAAAATAAAATAAAATTCCTGGCTTTTTCTATTCCTAAAGCTCAAAAAAAATTTTTACAAAAAATTTTTGCTTTCTATTTTGTGCAAATTTTTACATTTTTTTTTCTCTTCCACAGTTGTATCTTTTTTTAACGATTGATTGATTTGACTTGACCTACCTTTCCCCCCTCCAGATTTTTTGTAATCCTTTATTTAAACATACATTTCCCTCCCCTTTCCCCTCACCTCTGTCATTAGTGTTGTATGCCCTTTTTAAGTTCAGTTTTTAAACATCAGTGTTCCCATCAGTGTAGAGGAGAAAAAAAATATTTCCTTAAATAATTCAATAGCTTTCTTACCTGTGTGTGTTGGTGTTTTTTTACACTCGCCAGTTGGGGGTTGCAGGGGTCGGCAAGTCCTGGCCCCGCCTCTTCATGGTGCTATGGTCCTCCCCCTGAACCATGAGTTTATCGTCCTCTGCTTAAGCTATTTGGATCTTTCCCCCATCTTGTTCCCAAACTATTCCATTCCCTGACTATTTTGGGCGAAGAAATATTCCCCTAACTCCCTTTGATTTCTGTGTTTCAGCTTCCAATGTGTCCCTTTTGTTGTGTGTCCAGTCTCGGGAACTCCTTTTTTGCCCCACCTTGTAAATTTCCCTCTCAGTTTTTTTGGTAAGTCGTTATGCCCCCCCTATTCTCCTGTCCCCAGTGTGTCAGGTTGTTTTCCCTTAACCTCCTCATGGGGACATCCCCTTTTAACCTGGGACTTCTTTTTGCAAACCCTTTGCACTTCTCTAGTTTCTTTACGTGCTTCTGGGGTTTATTGGAGGAGTTCCGGGGGTCAACCCCCCGCACCCCGGTCTGTGCCCAGGCCCCCTTAGGTCGTGCCCCGGATGGACCCACCCCGTCGACAAAAAAACACCCAGGCCCCCATTTTATGAGGGGAACATAGAAAAACAGGTGGGAAAAAACCCGTCCAATGTTTCTCCCTTGGGGGGAATGGAACCAGGCCCTCAGTTAACCCACCAGGTTGGTGGTGGGGGTTTCCCAAAAGGGTGCGCAACTCCAATATGGGCCTAAGTACACGGTGTACAGGGCCTGAAGATTCTTATTAAGATGGGGAAAATGTGTTCTGGGTTTCCGGGCCCATTGCTGCGGCAGTTTTTTGGTTGTTGCGTTCGGGAGTTGTCCCTGGTGTTTATCCCCCCAGACTTTTTCCTTGGTGTGTTTGTAGTTTTGGGCCCCCCTAGACGTACTCCGTCTGCGGTCTTCTTTGCCCTTCCCCATCCTCTGATTTGCACTTGGTGGGATTGAAAATCCGGGCAGTTGCTGGACCGGTTGACCCTGCCCAAATTCCCTTTGTTTTTCTCCCTGGTTTCGTCGAATGAATCTTTCATAAACTTCACGTCATCGGCAAAGGGGGACCCCTCGGATTTTTTTCCTTTCCCGTCATGTCTTCACAAATACCAAAAAAGCCGGGCCCTAGGACTGACCCCGTGGGCCCCCCGCTGGTAAAGGGTGCCCATTTCTGCCCCTCACCACGTCCCATGACTGTGCTGTCTTTTGACAAGTATTCCTTTTCCATTGCAGGCCTTCCCTCTTATCCTGCTTGGTCCTCCATTTTTTTGACTAATTCTTGTGGGGGGTTTACTGTGTAAAACGCCTTTTGCAGCCCAAAAAAATGCAATCCCCCACCCTCTCCTTTGTCTTATGCTGTCCCTGTCATAAAAACCCCGTAGGTTTGTGAACGGGATTTCCGTCTCTAAAAACCATGTTGGCTGTGGTGATGGATCATCCTTTAGATTTTCCCACCATTCTTTTGAAAATTTTTTCCCAGTTTTGCATGTATACATGTCGTGACAGGGGTCTGTAGTTTAGTGCTCAGTCTGAAAACCTTTTTTAAAGATTGGGACCAATTTGCTGTCTTCCAGCTCGGAAATCCCCCTTTTTGATAGATGTTTTTGAATATTTTTGTTAGGGGTACCATACCCCCTCTGCCCCCTCTCTCGGGACCCATGGAGGGGTTATCGGGCCCTTTGTTTTGAGGATCTGCTCATCAGAAAAGCCTTTCATTCTTCCTGGTTGGTGTCGTGCCCCAGCCATGGGGGTGTCCCCCACCCCCCGTTTTTCGGGACCCCCTCTGTCCTCTGTGAACATTCTTTAAATCTTTGTTGATTTCCTCACATATTTCACGGTCTTTTTTTTGTCTCTCTTCCCTTCCCTTTCCTTAGCTGATTACCGGGTCCTTGCGGTTGTTTTTTCCTGATGTGGTGTATAACAGTTGGGTCAGTTTTGGGTTTTTGCTGCATGGGTTTTCATATTGCTTTGGGCCCCCTTCTTATCTGGCTATTCGTTTCGGGCCCCTCTAGATGCCCCTTTATTCTCCGGGGCCTTTGCTTCTTATTTTTCCCCCCCTGCACACTTGGTTTTGGCCCCTTGCTTTTTTTGGGGTGAACCAGGGCTACCCTGGTTTTTTCATTATTCCTTTCCCCTTGGGGTAAAACCTCCCCTCAGCTCCTTGACATTGTTGACATTTTCCCTCATTTTTTAACTGGCTTCCTGCCAGTTCTCTGTCCCATGAACCTCATTCAGGAAGTTCCTTTCCTGTGTAGTCCCTTTCCTGTATTTTGGGTTTTATTTGCCCGGGCCCCTGCTGTTTCCCCCTCCCTTGTAGTCTACTGTGTATTCGAAGCTCAAAACCACATGACGTGGCCCCAAGGGGTTTCAATGTAATGCCCACAATTCTGCATACTAAAGGTGAATACTAAGCCCAGTCTTGCTGGTTATCCTTTCCCCTCTCTCTCTTGTAGTGTCCCTTTACGTGTTGGTACAGCTTTTTCAGTCCACTCCTTTTCTTAGCCCTATGTATCTTGGCCATAGTGGCCCCAATTTTCCCCCATTCGATTCCCTTGTGGTTAAAGGGCCCATGATCAGGAGTTTTGCCCGCAGCATGAGTCTTCTCCCCATGCAGCCAGTGTGTCAACCATCGCTTATTGCTTGTCTACTTTTCCCTTGGCCCCCGCTGTTTTGTGGTGGGTTTATACATCCTAAATTTATCACCTGGGACCCCAGAGTGAAGCGTTCCTGCTTGAAATCACTTTTTTCCCTCTGTCCTTCTCGTCTCAAATTCCATCGGTGTTTGATTGCAATGCCCCTCCTCCCCCCCCCCCTGTTCTTCTGTCTTTTTCAGGATCTGGTATCCGCTGGAAATATGGCATTTTTATCATACTTTAAACTTGGTTTCTGGACGTAGATTTTGGTGATGCCTCTTTTTACTCTTTGTGCCCCCTCCCCCATTGTTGTTTTTCATAGCGTTTTTTTACCATACTTTAGTTTTTCCCTTCCCCAACACTTGGTTTGGGGGGTGTGGGGGTGGGAGATGGGAGCATTGTGGGTTTATGGTTTGGGGGGTTTGGGGGGAGTGGGGTATGGATTGTATTGTGTGTTGGGGTGGTGTGATGGTTGTGGGGTTTGAGGATAGTGTGTGGTGGTTGCCCTTGCTGCTTGTTTGCCTGATGACTCTGTTGGTTCCCTCCTTTTTCTCCCCTTTCCAGTCCCTTTTTCCTTTTTTTTCCCCCTCCCCCAGCTGTTGTCTCCTGTTTGTGTTCTGTCTCTGTCTAGGAAACCCCTTTTTGTACTCTTCCGAGCTTTTTAACCGTGGTTTTTCTTTGGGGTCCTGTTCCCCTGTTTCTGTCCCGAGAATAGCTTGATCGGTCGGTTTCTCCCCCTTCAAGTACCCCCCCATTCTCTGAAATTTACAATTCATCCCCTGTCTTCTCCCCCTATTTCCGTGATGATTTTTCAAATTTCCCTTTTTTTTTCCTGCCGTTTTCGTGTGTGTTCTTTTCCTCCTCTCCGAAAGCCCCTGGTAATCATGATTTTGCCCTTTCCTCCCATTGCCTCTCCCTCTTTGGGGCTCTGGTTCCGTCTGTTGTGGTCTTTTTTTCCCTTTATTTTTCCGTGGGGTCTTTGGGGCATGGGTTTGCTCGATTCGCTATCTCCCTCTCCCTTGCACCCCTCTGCTCTTCCCTTCCCTCCTGGCCCTTCTTTGCAGGTGATATGCCTTGATAATTATATCTCTTCCTTTTTTCAGCCTCTCTCTTGTATGGTGTGTTTCTCGGTCATACCCCCAGACTTTTTTTTCAGATGTTTACTCAAATTTAGGGGCCTTTACCCTGGCTACGCAGTTTGACTTGGCCCCCCAATTTTTCGTCTCTTCTCCAACCTCTTTTTCCCTTTTTACAGAGAGCTCTTCTCCCTTTTTTTCAGAAAGCTTCCAATTTTTTCCCCTTTTTGCTCTATCCTTTTCCCCTGTTCCTCCCTCCATTCCTCCCTACATCTTGTATCTGATCCCGATTCCTGCGAGTCCCCAAACCCTTTTTTTTTTTTGTGAAGAGGGGGAGGAAAGAGAAAAAAGAAGAAGGGGGGGGGAGGTGGAGTAGGGGAGAGAGAGAGAAGGAGAGCCCT